CGTAATATAATATATTATATATAATATATCTTATTATTTTAGATTATTATAACTAAAATTCTTATTATTTTAGATTAATATATATTGTTGTTCCAGAAAACTATTTCAGAAACATTATTATGTAATTATGTTATTATAGAAGGATGGCTGAGGAACAGATATCACAGAGAAAAAGAAACTTAGAACGATTTTCTTCTTTTTTTTTTTTTTTTTTTTTTTTTTCATTTTAAATCGCACAAAAAAGACTCGTAGAATATTTCGAGTTCTTCTTCCTTTTTACTCAGACATTGTAAATTAATTTTCAGATATTGTTGCTGGAAGCTGGTATAGAAGAGCCCGAGGTAACCGAGGTTCCAGCTTTCGCCTCGATGCTGCAAGCAAGCAATATCGACTGGATGTATCGCACGCAACCGGAGGAATATTCCTGTCGATCCCGAAGGGGTGGAGGCTGCCCGTGGGCAAGGGGCAAAGTACGTATTACACGGTACAAATCCAGAGGATTTCAACTTCGAAACTGCAATTTCTCGTCAGTTGAAAAATTCCTTGTTTTATGCAACATTGCTATTAAACAGTGGCTCGCAGAAATATTTGAAACATCAATTAGATTGAATAGTATAGAATAATATAGAATATTTCGAAACATCATTAATATTGTGTCACGATCATCATAGTATAATTACACGATACTCAGTGTATTTAAGTAAGTATTTTGTATAATTTTATACTGATATATATTATATTAATTTTTATAATTTTATAGATATTATATCTATTTTATTTTTTATTCTAAATAAATAGATATTATATTATCTATTTATATTTTTAACTCTAAATAAATATCCTACAATATCTAAATAAACACTATACAATGTTATATATAATAATTTACAATTTTGTAATATATTCATAACAATAACAACAAAAATAATAATATACAATATGTCAATAAGATAGTAATGTTAAATAATGTTAAATGAGTTTTTGCTCTAGAGTTTTCATTGTATTATAAAGTTACCCCATCTGTTTTATTTGAATGCCTCTAATGGAAATTTTAATGCTTCAAACCGTATTGTTAATTGGTTGAAAGTTATCCTACTTATTACTTATAGGTGATGGGTGGCTCCAGTGCCATCAATTACATGATCTACATTCGTGGTAATCCAAGAGACTACGACGAATGGGCAGAAGAAGGAAATTATGGCTGGAGCTACGAAGAAGTTCTACCATACTTTCTCAAATCAGAGAACAACACGGATCCAGAGGTAATAAATTTAATGAAAATTTGTATCATCAACTACTGCAAGATCAAACTGTAAAAAAACGTATTTTTATCATACAGTTCTAGTTACAATCAGAGTACATTCCCCTCACTTTGTTGTACATATAGTAACAGTACATAGATTTCACACAAACTCGTGTTATCAATTCATTTGCAATAAAATTGAAATAATATTTCAGAGACTTAGACACTTTAATAATCGATATATTTGATATTATATTATTATCTTACAATAGCACTGATATTTATTTAGAGTTATAAAATAGATATAAAATTATAAAAATTACAACAGATTTGATAATAGATATTTTATTGTTTCAATCAATTTAAGCCCTCGAATCTGGATAAATTGTTTCCACATTAAATATTTCTGATTACACGTTCGAACTTACTACAAACTCAAAGATATATATAAAACACAGTTTTCTTTTAAACATTATCTTGTTAACGGAACGAATGATTTTTTTCCAAAAATCCTCGGAAAAAATGGTGTAAGATAATTCGCACACTGTATTTTTGTAAGATTTCTAATTTTATTTCTAGTTTATTTATTTATGTGTAAAAATGGTATCTCTCCTTCAACTAAATTAATTAATTTAGACTTTCGACTAATCGACAATCATTGTGGATGAATTTCCTCCACTTATAAATATTTTTGCATACACCACTTTCTGATACTTACATACACACTTTCTAATTGGTTTTACATTTACGCATTTTAAATTTCCCGTACAACAATTTTTTTTTTAAATACTGCCTGTTAAAAAAAGCCGAATAGTGATTTAAAGCAGAGGTGGCTAACTGGCGGCCCTTATCCCCACTTTTTCGCTCGCTATCCCCTCCACTGTATCGATCTCTCCATTGCGTTGAGAGTGTCGCGGCCACAATACTCGCACAGGTACATATAAATTATTTTTTTTTTTACTGTAAGTTGCTAAAGTTAAAAGAAGATGAGGAAAATAGCATTTGTGTAGAATGAACAGAATGGAAATTAATTTTCATAGTGGGAGAAACGGCACACGAAAGAACAGTGATGAAATTTAACATAAATGTGAATTTAACGAAAAAATATTTGACAAGTATTTTTTCTTTTTTGAGGATGAAAACTAAGAACCAAAATTAAGAATCCTAAACACGTTTTGCCAAATTACTGAAGATACAGTTTTCTGTGTAAATTGGTGTGTATCATTCTGCGTTTAAACGATATATTAAAAAATACTTGACAAATTTTTAATAAACTGTGAGTAGAGAATTCAAATTTCATGAAAACTCATTCAAATCCAAGTGGAAGTTTATTGCACGTGTGTAAAATTTCCAACAGAAATTATAAGTTGGTCTGCATATAATCGGTTAAGAAAAATTACAAACTTTCACCATTCTGGTGGTAACTCAATCAAAAGTCTCTCGGCTTTTAAACTGATGGATACCTGCGAGGAAAGGAGAAATTTGCCGCCTCTGATTTAAAGGATTCAGACAATTCACACGTTCAAACTGATTTGTACAACTCAGCTCGACTCGACTACTAAAAATCCTTGCTTGAAATCGTCGTTTTCCCGCAGACAGTGCGAGAGAATCGGCACTACCACGGCGAAGGGGGTTACCAATCGGTAGAACGATTCCCATACATCGACATCAACACGAGAATCCTGTTGGACGCGTGGCAGGAACTCGGCCACGAGCCAGTGGATGCCAACGCGAACAGTCAGCTGGGCGTGATGCGATTGCAAATGACTTCCGCTCGTGGAACGCGTCAAAGTGCGAACAGCGCCTTCCTGCGACCCGTCAGACACGCGCGCAAGAACCTGACCGTCGAAACTGGAGCACACGTCACGAAACTGCTGACGGACGCCGGGACGAGACGCGTGACTGGCGTGGAGTATGTCACCTCAACTAGCGGAGCAGTGAAATTCAACGTTGCTCTCGCTAGAAAGGAAGTGATCGTCTCGGCTGGGTCGATCAACTCGCCGAAGGTGCTCATGCTGTCTGGGATTGGGCCTAGGGAAGAGTTGGAGAGGCACGGTATCAAGGTGATCCGCGACTCGCCGGTTGGTAGAAATCTTCAAGACCACGTGACGATGGATGGCCTGGTGATCGCGTTGAACTTCACTTCCACGGCTAAAGACAATCATCTCAAGGAGCAGGATATTCTTCGCTACGAGATGACGCACGGAGGACCTTTGTCCGCGACTGGCACTCTGTCTTGCGGCGTTTTCCTGCAGACGATCTACCAGCGGAAGCACGGTGTCCCTGACGTGCAGTTCGCGTTCGACGCGAGCAACCAGCAGGACTTTCTCAACGATCCAGCAGAGTACAAGGAGACGGCGGTCGAGCCGCTGTCTTACTACGACGCCATAAACATCAGGCCGATCTTACTATCGCCGAGGAGCAGGGGATTCGTACTGTTGAACGACAGTGATCCTCTCTGGGGGCCACCATTCATCTATCCCGGATATTTCACCAGCTACCCCGACTTGGACGTGTTGGCGGAAGCTGTCCAAGCAGCTTTACACCTGTTTCACACGGAGTCGTTCAGGAACAATGATTTCAGGCTGATGGACACACCGTTGCCCGCTTGCAGGCAGTTCGAGTTCGGCGAGAGAGATTACTGGAAGTGCGTGATGATAGAGTACACCGCGACTATTTATCATCCGGTCGGCACCTGCAAGATGGGGCCAAAGTGGGACCCCGAGGCGGTGGTGGACGAGAGGTTGAGGGTGTACGGGGTTACTGGCCTCAGGGTCGTCGACGCCTCGATCATGCCGAGGATCATCAAGGGGAACACGAACGCGCCTACTATCATGATCGCGGAGAAGGCTGGCGACATGATCAAGGAGGAATGGCTGTACGGCGAGGATCGTTGGTTTTAGTTCAGGCTTTGGGTGAATATTTAAATAATGAAATATACTCGATAATAATAAAATAATAATATGATATAACGACAATAAACGTACGTGATAATTGAATAATAAAACGATGTATTGTGACGACGATTGTGTCATACTATACTACGTGACGTATAATAATTAACAATATCATATTACTTATTGCAATAAAGATCTGATCATACGACATTGTTAACTGTGACACTGAAATTAAATATAATATCACGTAGTATTGTATCGAATATAATTAATATTCGTGGTACGAGAAAAATGGAAGGAAGTTAAATTGATTAATTTGACTTTTGCGTTGAAAAAAAAGATTTGTTATCTTCAGTCTGATAAGTTTTTGTTTATTAAAATGAAACATAAGTAGACAAAGGAACTGGCCAATTGAAAAGAGAAGTTATATTTGCATTATATAACAATTATCACGCGATTATGATTGTACTGTGTTCGTTCATTATCACGCGGCAAATTTTTATTCAAATTCATGCGTTGACGTATTAAAATAAAATTCAATCCAAACATATTTTTAAATATTATATTATTTCAAATAAATTATATCATTTCACGTGTTTTCGAGTATTATATTGTTTTATGTATTTTAAATGTTATAATATATTTATGGGGTTTCATGTACATGTGATTATGTACAAACGCGTGTATGTATCTTCTATGTAAAATAGGTTAATGTAATTCGCGGTTTAAAAAAAAAAAAAACCTATGCACAGCCGAGTATTACAGAGAAAGTTTGAAAAAGAGAAAAGCTGGCTCCATTATTTTTCGACAGCAAATGGTACGACGAACTTACTATCTAAAATGTGAAATTGCAAAAAAAAAGGGGGGAGGGAATTTTAGAATTCAACAAGGGACAAGTTCACGTTCTACAAAAAAAAAAAAAAAAAATTTTAAACTGCCTCGTTTCGAGATTATAAAATTTCTACGAAACTTATTCAAGTGACAACAAATCAACAGGTGCTTCATGCAAAAATTTAACTTCATGTAAAAATTGTCCATTTAAATTCGTAGAGCATGATCGAACGATCTAGACAGATTCATGTAGCCAAGCAGCGAACATGTCACATATGCTCGTAAGCGTGTCGACACATACTATGTACGAATGTATAGAATGTATAATTTTGTTTTATTAACGTATAAAACTAAAGTGTAATATGTTTATGCGTTATGTATCCAACTTTCGTTGAAAGTTTGATTTTCGAGGAAAATTGAATATTAAATAGATGTCCATGAAAATTGATGATCCTTTAAAAGAAAAATACAACAATCGAAGGAAAATGAAAAGTTAAATAAGCATCTATCTATCAAATTATTTGCAACTTTGCAAATGTGCATTCGTATGAGTTGTCGACGTCGGGAAATCCAATAAGTTTATAGAGTGATGATACGTTTCACGGTTTCTGTTTCAATCGCCGCGAAGCCTCAGAATCGTCGCGGCACAATAATCATCGGCGATCTGACCTGTTTCGAGGAAGCCCCGACTTTTCAACGAAAGGATCGCCAACTTTTCTCAAACTGAACGCATCGTGCGATGAAACAAAGCTGAACGCAAAGCAAATGAAAAAAAAAAAAAAAAAAAAAAGAACAGTTGGATCTCAACCATCAAAATTTTAACCGAGAGATCGTAAATATCAACGAGAACTACTTTTTTTACAGTTCGTTCAAGCTCGAAATATTTTCAACATTAGAAATATTTAATGACCGGAAGAGTTCCAAAATATTAAACTTCAACTTGGAAATTGATCTCTCGCTCTCAACTGTAATTTGATTCAATGATTTGCACATTTTTGTTTCATATACTTGCAATAATGAATAAATCGAAAGGAACTATCAGCTAATCTTTATGTACAGAGTTTGAATCTTCTTTTCCAAATTTTTTGGACTTTTCGACTACATGGAGGAGTTTCGAATCTGTTCTTTTCAACTAGTTGAGCTTCCCTGGTTCAAGAGTAAGTAAATATTTTAAGAGTTAAAGTAAATAAGTAAGTATTTTAAGAGTAAAATATTTTAGTAATTTTTCTAAATATGGAGGAGTTTCGAACCGTGCTTTGTTCATCTCTCGAATCAAACGAACGGCGAGGTGTCGGTCCCTCCGGACC